AGCAGGGCAGGCAAAGAGGGGCCAGAGCACAGGAGCCAAGAAACTGTCAAAAAGACTTCCCCTGGCTTTCCATCTACACTCAGCATCCCTGCCTCGTGTTGAGAGAAGGACTAGCTTTTTGGAAGGACAGATGGGCTGCACATAACTACATGGGATGATTTAAGGAAGACGGGAAGCCAGGAAGAGATGAAAACACATAACATGAAACGAAAGCCAAAAAACAAGATTAGAAAACTAGCAGGAGGAAAAAGAAATCAGTATTTACAGATGGATATTGATTTATTAATGATGCCTGAGGTTCACATATTCCAATAAACGTAAAGGGTCAACTTTCCTTTCCTTCATACGGCTATCTTTCAGAGACTATCTATTCGGCAACAGAGTAAATCCTCCTTTACAACAAGTATTTCAAAATGGCAGTTTTATCAACAGGCTTCCCCCCCCCCCCCATTTTTGAACTCCATAATCAAAGCAATGCCTACTAATCCCAGATTCTCAGAAAGGGGATTTTGAGAGCTTGGCCATGCTCTTGGCCATGCCACAGGGTTTCTCTGAGGAGTCTCAGATCAACTGTGTGAGGTGCCCATTACAGGCAAAACTTTCTACTGTGAACCCATCTCATAGGCATGATGTCTACATTTCAAAGTTTGAATGTGAAATCTGTTTCTACAGTCGGCAGGGGAAACATGAGAGTCACGGATCAAATTTCCAGGAGACCTGGATTTTCTTCATTGTTCAGCATAAGAGGCATCCTGACTGTCCATACTAATAAGGTTCCATGCTTGTCTTGCAGCTCACTGCTCATACTAAGGACAAGTCGTATTTGGAATGGAGTTAGTGCTCTTGATCAAGAGGGTTAGTGCCCTTGATCAAGAGGTCAAAATTGCCTATTGCAGTCTGTGACCGAGAGATTAAAATAACCGACCTTAACAGATAAAAAACTTTTCCTACTTCAAATTCTAAAGATCCTTCCATTTAAAAACTGCTTTTAAGAAAGTGAGGTTGGTAATCAAATCAAGTGACCAACTGACCTGAAAATCAATCGATGGCCAGAAAAAGTTAATCTTTCAACCTGACAGTCTAAGACAGAAAGACAAGACTGATAAATGAACTGTATTATATAAGATAATAAATAGGAGGGAAGTATTTTAGAACAGGGAGAAAGGGCTTCAAAGATTGGTAAGATTTG